AACCGGCGGTTGGAAAGGCGGGGTCCAAGAATTAAAATCTCGACCCTACAGGCACAAATAGGTGAATACAAACACCTCCCCCCCCAGCCAAAAAAAAGTAAATGCCTAATGGTTTATCGGCCGCATGCGACAGGAACATAACAATTAATAAGGCATTATGATCAGCAGTAATGCGCCAGTACCCCGGCCAGTCCCCCAACCCCCTCCAGGCCGGCTAGTGACTGTTATTGGGTATTGACCGCCGGGGCCGCGTCTGTTGGGACCCACACACGCCACAACACAACTGTCCTGTGAAAAAAAAAATGGACGAGGGGGTGGGGGGGCACCAGCATGAAATTTACTGTCGTGGATCGAGACTTTCTTTAAGAGGTCGCAGAGGAACTTTTGGTCAAAGTTTTGGCGTGTCATTCGTCTGGTGTATGCTAATTCCCGCCACCCAGAAGCCACCGCCACCCACCGGCAACATACAAAAAATGAGATGTCTGGTAAAACTTTTTCTGCAGTGTGTCGTTCGTGCAAGACCAGCACCGGAGTGTCAGACACGGTAGTGCAGAGAGCCACTGTGATGGCAGGCACAAAATAAGAACTGTTGCACCCCCCAAAAGACGCATTGACAAAAATGCAACAACCTAATCTTTCCTAGACCTATAACAATACTGGACCTAATATATGCAATTTTGGGCCTCATGTAGTACATATATGTATATTGTAATATATATAAAACCTAGGAGACGTTAAGTTATTGACTTCCTATCGTACCCTCTGCAAAATCAGTATTACAAAAATTACTTTTTTGAACGCAACTGCCCAAATTGTGTACACAAACTTCGATTCCTTTCACAGAGTAATCATTGACACGTCCTACACATTAACATGCTATACCTGTGCACGTTACCTTATTAATAAGTGGTGCTGTAGGTGCTGTAAGTACAGGTGAACGTCTCACCTGGTCCACAGCACACCATAATGAGCTCGCACACTACTGTCACCGCCCACGCTGGAGTAATTGGTGATTCGACCCATACCACCCATATCTTGGGTGGTATGGGTTTTCCTCATCATCAAAGGCCAAATGATCGTTAATCCAACCACCAAACCCAATATTTATGAATGAAAAACAATTTATATACGACTCTCAACTGATGATATATGTAGTGCATGATGACATGCGGTAGCTCGAGCAGCGCTTCGTTCGCGTCCTCTGTTCGAATCTCACCTCTATAAATGCTTCACCCACGTACTGCAGATGCTAATAACTGCCAACAGAACTCAACCACCTAACCTATCCAAAGTTATGTCTAATTATTCAATTCATTTAATATGCAATAATATTACCTTATGTTTAAGAAAATACAAATTTTGAATACGCAGTATGTTGAAATTAATGAATGTGTCTTCGGGTTGTTCCGCTGCCGGGACCAGCCTAGCCCGAGGCCAGCCCGTCCTCATCAACAAAGGCCAAGTGCTCGATAATCCAGCTGCCAACTTCCCTGATTATGAATGAAAAATAAGAAAGTCAATAGGAACCCAACCCGTCCTCGACTCAAGTCCATTCCATCCAGCGATCGATCCCACAGACGCATTTATAAATTTTTGCATACTGTTCATTCAAAACGCGAATTTTCTCAAATATAAATGAATATTATAATATATTAGCATATTGTGCATATATAGGCATAGGTGTTTAGGTTCTGTTGGCGATTATCTGTGTTTGTAGTATGTGGGTGAAGCATTTACAGCGTTCGAATAAAATTCGTCGCGCTCTTGTTCCGGAAGTGTTCAAACGAAATCAGTTGTGAGTCGTGTGTAAACCGCTTTTCATTCATAAACAGGGGGTTTGGCGGGTGCACGGAATCACTTTTGGGCCTTTGTTTCGAGGACGGGCTGAATGGACTTGAGTCGAGGACGGGTTGAGTACTAACCCGCCATCCCCCCCTCTCCCCCCCACACACACATTGTATTTCCTTGATAATGTGGTGAAACAGGAAAACGTTCGGAATTTACGGTTTAATTTTTTCCTAGTGAAAACTTACCGAATGTCCGAATTACGAGGTTTTTGTAACTATTCTTGCATGTATAAATATAACTTACACTGGTAGCAGGTGTTATAAAGTCACCTCCAACCACAACTATAAAGCTAGACTCAACAAAGAAGTCAAATGTCAGACAAGTAAAATAAGAACGTCCCAGGTACAACTGCCCCATAGACACTGATAGGTAAGTACTAATAGATAAGTTCTCCTCGTCTCATTCTCCCCTGAAAGGTGGTCAGTTTATTAATTAAATAATTTCGAACAGAGAGAGAGAGAGAGAGAGAGAGAGAGAGAGAGAGAGAGAGAGAGAGAGAGAGAGAGAGAGAGAGAGAGAGAGAGAGAGAGAGAGAGAGAGAGAGAGAGAGAGAGAGAGAGAGAGAGAGAGAGAGAGAGAGAGAGAGAGAGAGAGAGAGGGGGGTGTGTGTTTCCTCGCCCTCCCTCCCGGAATATAGACGACCAGAGCTCGGGGGATGGGAGGTTTGGATACAAAAACAATCATCACAAAAGGAAGGTTCCAGCAGATGGAACTCCATATGCAATCCCGCAAAACCTGCTCCTTTTTAATACTCATTTAATTAGTAGCCTCTCACGGGAATGTGTAAGAATCTATACTAGACCATTAGTGCTACAACAACAACATACTGCTCAAAAAACAACTAATACAAAAACAATAAAACCGAAACAATATGAACTGATGACATCATCTAGAGTTAAAAAAAAAAAAGATGGAATTAGAAAGTTCAAATTTTGGAGCACTTTCATTCGCCGGTTCCATATACGCAAATGGCGATAAATCCCTGCGTGTTCAATTGAACACGGCAGCTACGCGATCAACAAAATCCCAGCCAGATTTTAGCAGCAATTTTTCAACGCCACGATAAATTTGATAGCATTCGTCATGAAACAAAAAAAAAATCCCCCTCCGAGTTGCGGGTAACAGTGCCCCTTGCGAGAGGACAGTCGTACCTAGTAGCCAGAACGCACTTCTCTGCCTACTATGCAGGCCTAATAAGCCAAGATTTCATGAATTAATTATTTTTCGACTACCTAACCTACCTAACCTAACCTAACCTAACTTTTTCGGCTACCTAACCTAACTTAACCTATAAAGATAGGTTAGGTTAGTTAGGTAGGGTTGGTTAGGTTCGGTCATATATCTACGTTATTTTATAAAAAAAATTGACCTCATACATAATGAAATGGGTAGCCTTATCATTTCATAAGAAAAAAATTAGAGAAAATATATTAATTCAGGAAAACTTGGCTTATTGGGCAAATCGGGCCTTGCATAGTAAGCTGAGAAGTACGTTCTGGCTATTAGGTACGACATATATATATATATATATATATATATATATATATATATATATATATATATATATATATATATATATATATATATATATATATATATATATGCTGTAGACGCCATTGTCTACATGTGTTCCCTAAAAGGCTGGGTTGGTGTTATATGACCTCCCAAATCCTTCTCCTTCGGCTTGTCTGAGAGCTGAGTATTTGTCAGAGTTACAGAGAAGCAATGTTGTGCGAACGAGCGACCAGCGCTGAAGTGCTGAAGTGGTTACCAACAGTCGTCTTTGTATTTCTCTTCAGCAATGGTGCATGAATTGTGTGTGTGTGTGTGTGTACTCACCTAGTTGTACTCACCTAGTTGTGTTTGCGGGGGTTGAGCTCTGGCTCTTTGGTCCCGCCTCTCAACCGTCAATCAACAGGTGTACAGATTCCTGAGCCTATCGGGCTCTGTCATATCTACATTTGAAACTGTGTATGGAGTCAGCCTCCACCACATCACCCCCTAATGCATTCCATTTGTCAACCACTCTGACACTAAAAAAGTTCTTTCTAATATCTCTGTGGCTCATTTGGGCACTCAGTTTCCACCTGTGTCCCCTTGTGCGTGTTCCCCTTGTGTTAAATAGACTGTCTTTATCTACCCTATCAATTCCCTTCAGAATCTTGAATGTGGTGATCATGTCCCCCCTAACTAGCAGTCCCCCCTAACTCTTCTGTCTTCCAGCGAAGTGAGGTTTAATTCCCGTAGTGTGTGTGTGTGTGTGTGTGTGTGTGTGTGTGTGTGTGTGTGTGTGTGTGCACGCGCGTGCTTGAGCCCCCTACACGTCCACTCCAGCACCTTGCAGCAGCGTTACAAGCATATCCATTAGTCTAAATATCATTATACAAATATTTCCATCGTCAACACAGCTTCCTCGAGCGCCTCTCTCCTCATTACAATTTGCATTACGTATCTCCGTCCTGTTAATATAATTCTTTAAGATTTATAAAAAAAAAATATATAAATTTTGTCAAGCAAAAACAAATAGTTTAACATTAAAACTTAACATTTTCTAAATTCTAAAACAGTTTTTTAAACAAAAATAGTTTAATAATAAAAATACTTTTTGTAATAAACTATATTGTTAATATTAAAATATTCACATGCCTTTATTATAATAATTGCCTGGTCTTATAGGCCGAGGTTAGATGAAGTTTTGTCCATAGTTAAGCTTCGAACATATTAAATTTTAATTTATTAAAGTTTCATAAGATTTCATGTATATATAGGTCAATGAAGGAAGGAAGGAATTATCAGGGAAAAGCGCCAATCCATTACAACTATATAGCACTTGGAAGTGATCAGGATAAGGATTTGGGATGGGAGGGTGGGGGGGGGGGGAGAAGGAATGGTGCCCAGCCACTTGAACTGTCGGTGATTGAACTCCGACCTGCATGAAGCGAGACCGTCGCTCTACCGACTACCCCAAGTGGTTGGGCTATAGGTCAATGAGAGGTGAGATAGTGTTACTTAATAAGGTCTCTTTTGGGGATAAGCTTAGTAGAGGTTACATTAATTGGTTTAATAATATTTTCCGTATAGATAGGCCTAGGTTCAATTATGCGGTTTGGTTAAGTTCGGCCAATATATATCAGGGTAAAGTACACTTGTAGTCATATTATATCATTACTCTTTAATATAACATCAATGTACAGTACCGCGCGAGTTACATTATCTAAGAGGCTTAATACCAGTCACATTAGTACATATATCATGGCATATGGAAGGTGTATTATTGTATTTTGTATTATTAATTATTTGTAGCTATAATTATTGTTGTTAACATTGGCAATATTACTTAATAATTACTGTAATGGTAATATGACGTACTTCTGACACACCAAACACTAGAGTTACGTCATATGGAGACACGATGCTCTTCCTAATATTGGTATTCCTATTCCCAGGACGATCACTACCATCTGGGTGCTGGTGGTGGACCGGTGGGCCATGGCTCCACTCTCCTGGCCAGCTGGCCCGCGGTGGTCCACCGGTCCGCTCTGTCTCCCCTCTGGGGGAGCGTCCTGGCCCACAGCTGCCGGTGGGACAAGGGGAAGAGAGGAATAAGAATATAAGGAATATAGGAATCAGCGGAAGGTCTATTGGTCCAGACGAGGCAGGTCCTGTTTATATCTTTTCAAACTCAATCATATATATGTCTGACCTACGTTTGAAAATATAAAGAGATCTCACGTTGAAAATATCAAAAGATCAAGATCAAGATCAAGATCAAGAGAGAGAGAGAGAGAGAGAGAGAAACGTGACTCACTTTCTTCCCCCTCAATATTTCCTTGCGGCAAACCCTCTCTAAGGTTGTTAATTCCCTTTGGACGTGACGAATTTTCGTACTTCTCGACAGCTATAGAGAGGGGAGGAAAATTATATCATAATCAAAATATTATTTAGAATTAGTATCACTGGTAATTATGTATATATGTATGATTAGCAAAGCAAGAATTAAAATTAGATGAGTTAATAACAAAATTTAGCCAATTGCCTAAAATTCAAATATACAAATTAGGTATATAATTAGTTGTAATATATTTAAAGAACATGTTAGAAACCTTAACAATCATAATTAGAAAACCTTGGAATTATAATTAATGGATCCATGAATAAAATGTGGTAGATTATGACTTGTTAGAAAATATACAACTCTCTCTCTCTCTCTCACTCTCTCTCTCTCTCTCTCTCTCTCTCTCTCTCTCTCTCTCTCTCTCTCTCTCTCTCTCTCTCTCTCTCTCTCTCTCTCTCTCTCTCTCTCTCTCTCTCTCTCTCTCTCAGGCCCTTCCCCTCTCTCACTCTTGTACCCATATCACTGTTTCTATTTAACAATACACATTTGCTCACAGATTAGCAATCAGATTCTTGCATTGCACAAAAGAGAGACTTGGCCGTAGACTTAATCCCAGATCTCATGCCTGATCTCATTAGCAGAATAACGTCAGCTGTATTATAGAAAAGGTCTAAAGACTTGCAGCATAGCTCGTTCCTGAGCTGAGAGGCCGGAGACAATAAGACTGAGGAAACTGAACCTCACGGTACTGGGGGAGAGGAAGAATTGGGGAGGACATGATTGCGACATGTAAGATTATTGGGAGGAATTGACAAAATAGACACAGAAGCACTGTTCATAGCTAGGAGCGGCATAGTCACCAATAAGTCAAAAAGATGTCAGAAGAACTTTTTCAGGATAAGAGTTGTCCATAAGTGGAATGAGTTAGACTGAAGACGTGGTTGAAACTTTCTGAATACAAAATTTTAGGTTTAAATGTGGAAAGGTGTGAGAACTGAGTCCCTGCATTGACATAAAGTTCAATATGCGAGCTAAGAGCTAATTCTCACACAGAAACACACAGGGGGACGCAGGGGTCTGGTAGCTGAGTGGACAGCGCGCGGGACTCGTAATTCTGTGGCCTGGATTCGATTTCCGGCTCCGGCAGAGACAAATGGGCAGAGTTGCTTTCACCTTGATGTCCCTGTTACCTAGCAGTAAATAGGTACCTGGGAGTTAGACAGCTGTTTTGGGCTGCTTCCTGGAATGTGTGTGTGTGTGTGGAGGGGGGAAATAATTAGTAGTAACAGTTGATTGATTGACAGTTGAGAGGCGGGCCGAAAGAGCAAAGTTCAACCACCGCAAGGACAACTAGGTAAATACAATTAGATGAATACACACACATACTCAACAAATACAAAATAAATAGCATCAATAGCGGCAGGATGAGAAAAAAATACCTAGATAATCACATGAGCCACAGAGTTGCAAGATATCACTTCTTCAATGTAAATGTAAGATCGAGGATTAGCAGTCTCCGTGGTGTACTGGCAAGACACTCGCCTGGCGTTTCGCGAGCGCTTTGTCCTGGGGTTCGTATCCTGATCTGGGAGGATTTACTGGGCCTAAATCCTTAAGCCTCTTTTTATCCCCAACGGTAAAATGGGTCTCTGGTTGTTAAACGATTTGGCTGGGTCGTATTCCGGGGAACATAGGATTAAGGACTTGCCCGAAAACGTTACGCGTACTGGTGGCTGTACAAGAATGTAAGAACTCTTGTATATATAAAAAATAAACAAAAGTGAAACAGTCGAGCAGATAGTGAGGGGCAACTTCATCCATTGTTCCAAGGAGAGGTACGACTAGAAGAGGGTCGGGAGCCATCACAATAGGTCATCGGCGACTAAAAATCTAGACCCAGGAGCTAGATCCTGCACTGAAAACTCGCACACACATTTGCGTATATAAATCCAAGAGGGAAGGCCAAGAAATGCCAGACATAATACAAGTACGATAAAGTAAGGGACTAATACTCAGTAAATGACCAGGAAAATACTTCTCAGCATAACACAGCCGCCTACCACATCTCAACATCACACATCTCACCACATCGCTGACGACATCACAGAACAGCGCACAATATCGCATTATATTACCCTAGAAAAATCGCACACGCTACCGTATAGGCCATCACAAAGTAAAATGCAACACATCCCTGAGCAACACACCATACAGCACATCACAGAACATCTCGCCACACCTCAAGACAGCCCTGTACCCACCATAGACGAGCACAGCGCCGTTCGCCTCGCCTAGGGGATTCTTGGCGACACAGTGGTATCTGCCGAAGTCATGATGGTGCAGGAGCAGCATCCTCAGCTTCATGTGAACCTTGTAGGAGCTGTCCTCCGTCGTCACTGGCTCGAACTGCGGTCCTGCAAAAACACCAGCAGTGGTCCTGTTCACAGGCTTGGTCTACATGTCAAATTCCCCCCCCCCCCCCCTGACGTATTTGTATCTCTTTGATGCCGTCAGTATCTTTTTTCCCTTTTTATCTGCGAGACTTTCACCCTCTCTCTCTCTCTCTCTCTCTCTCTCTCTCTCTCTCTCTCTCTCTCTCTCTCTCTCTCTCTCTCTCTCTCTCTCTCTCTCTCTCTCCCTGTCTCCTCTCGAAAACGTCGATAAATAGCGACGATAGCGGTATCAATTACCCTCAAAACTGGGAGTGAATTTTTTATTTTAAGAATAATAAAGTGAATACTGAAACAGCCAATTACGGCGTTGTTGATGTGTATCAGAGCGCTGATGTCAGTAACACCACTAGTCTAGATGTTGTGGCACTGTCTGGCACCCTGATGCCAAGTGGCCGTGTTGTCCTCCTCCCACACCCCCTCTCAGGTAGGATTAGAGTCGTGCAACATAGGGCATAGTCGAATAATTATGACCTTTAATACGGTCATCAGAATCTAATCCGCTTTAGTATCCGTAATGAAAGGATCAAAATTGCTGTTGTTGTTAGCCTGTGTTCTAATTAGACGTCTGGTACCCCGATTGCTGTTTTGAGCTTTGTTAATATGTTAAACCTCTTAATGGAAATTTTGAAGAAGAGTAGTATCTTTCATTTGTGTTCAAAACCTGCAAAGAACTTGCAAAGACTGTGAAAAAGAACGTATAAAGAACGTGAAATGTGTACGGAACGTGTATAAAAAAATGTGACGAAAGAACATAAAAATCGTGTAAAGAACGGATACAGAACATGTAACGAACATGCTCATAACATGTACACCAGATAGTGCTGGTACTCAGGAGAACTCTCTGTTCTCTACCTTATAAGTTCAGGCATTCAGAACAGGAATAAGGTGGTGGGAAGGAGGGCAGGTACTCTGCGCCAGCCCTCAGGAGAAGCTGAGGGTCTGAGGGACGTTCTAAGCCAAGCCAGCGCTGGGAGGTACTCTCACAGTGCTCTCACCTGGGACGATCATCTCGCCGCTGGGGTTGGTCCAGTAGTTGATGCTCCTGGGGAAGGCCTCAGTGTGGCACTCGATGGTCAGCTGCTGCTCCAGCTGGGCGCCCTCCAGCTGCTGCGGCACCCACATCATTGGTGGAACTGCCGCCCCCACCCGCGTGCACCAACACAAAGGTCTTTTAGTGGTGTATTGTAGAAGGCACGTTAACCACAGTTCTTCATCTCTAGATGAAGAAAACTGACGTACAAACACAGGTACGTTTAAAACCCCTTATATGTAGTGGGTCTGGACGCTCTTCAAATTGTAGCATGATTTTTATTGTGTCAAATTGTTGATTAGTGAGATTTTAGTCATTGGCAATAATCATGGAAATCTCTAATGTGTGTATCTATCTGCTCTCTCTCTCTCTCTCTCTCTCTCTCTCTCTCTCTCTCTCTCTCTCTCTCTCTCTCTCTCTCTCTCTCTCTCTCTCTCTCTCTCTCTCTCTCTCTCTCTCTCTCTCTATCTCTCTCTCTCTCACTCTCTCTCTCTCTCTCTCTCTCTCTCTCTCTCTCTCTCTCTCTCTCTCTCTCTCTCTCTCTCTCTCTCTCTCTCTCTCTCTCTCTCTCTCTCTCTCTCTCACACACACTCTGGCTCCTTTTCATCTGGTGTTGTCTCTGTGTGTGAAGCAGGAACAGCAGCACTTACACTGTACTGTGAGATGGGTCCTCTTGCTGACGGAGGGAGGGACGCCGTTGTGGGCGATACACAGGTAAGACCCCATCTGCAGCCGCGATACTTTCTTCATCGTCAGCGTGTCTCCCACCACCTCCCCCACTGTTCCACCCGCAGCCCAGCCCCCACCACCAACCAACATCCACGAACGCCGCCACCATCCGCGAACGCCGCCACCATCCACCAACGGCATCATAAACAACCATCCACAGAGACAATCCACCGGCGAGTTCGCCAGCCACCGCGAACATCAGGACAAGATAAACAAATGCTGCTCTTAGTCACTTAAGAACAATAAATAAGTCACACATATATAGATAATCACGGGCGGGCTTTAAAGTTAAACTGTTTATGTATATACATTGTCTACATACCTTTTAAATCAGCAAGTTCAAAAGACCAAAATACTTCCAGAGAAAACTAGCTTTATTTTACAATTGTATACGAAGCGGTGTACCTCATCTGTCTATTGGGTAGGAAATAGTATTTCATGTCATCTTAGTACGAAATTGTACGTTTCATTTGTTTGTGAGTTACGAAATTGCGTGTTTCATGTGTCTATTGGGTTTCAAAGGGTGTGTATGTGGTGTTGAGTGCAAAATGGTGTGTATGTGTTGTCTATTGAGTGCAAAATGGTGTGTATGTGGTGTTTGTTGAGTGAAAAATGGTGTGTATGTGGTGTTTGTTGAGTGAAAAATGGTGTGTATGTGGTGTCTATTGGGTGAAAAATGGTTTGTAGTGTTGTCTGTTGAGTGCAAAAATCGTGTGTGTGGTGTCTGTTGATGCAAAATGGTGTCTGTTGAGTGCAAAATGGTGTGTATGTGGTGTCTGTTGAGTGCAAAATTATGTGTATGGGGATGTCTGCCGAATACAAAATGGTGTACATCTATTGTATGTTGGGCAGGAAATAGTATCTCACCTGTCCTGCCTTCCTCCAGGACAACGTCTTGACTATCCTCACGGCGCCACACTACCCCAGGCGTCGGGTGACCTCTGGCTCGACAGGTGAGGGTCACATCATCTCCCTCCCGGATGACGAGGTCACCGGATGACTCCCTGTCTATGATATCCGGAGGCACTGTGGGGAGGAGGGGAGGATGCCACAGGATGAGTGGGTGCCACCAGCTGTCAGGTGGCACCCGTGTCATACATCACTTGTGTTCACCAGCTGAGATGTGACACCCGTGATGCTTCTGGTGTCGTACATTACTCGCGTCTAATCGTAAGAACGGGTTAGCAGGTTCGCTAGTGTAGGTATCCATACATTGTGAAGATCCCTGGAAACACAAACCGAAACTGTCTCTATTTTCCGCTTGTTACAACTTGTAATAAAGTTGTTACATCTTGGCTTAACGTGTTTATGACGTATTAGAACGTTGTTACAACGTGCTATATCGATTGTTATAACTGGTTAGGAGGTATTAGAACTTGTTCGAACGTTGTACCAACGTCATAGTTTCGGTGTGAGTTTGGCGGGAATTACACACTAGATATTTATGTGGTGTTTAATTTTCTTGATTGTATTTGCATGCTATTACAGAATTCGTTAATTCTAATGATACAATAACTGTAGTGTGTGTTATTGTATTCGTCTGGAAACCAAATAAATTGTTTCATCTTGTCAAATATTATTTTCAACAGCAAATATTTTAATCGCATTAATCTGTAGTAATTTTGATTTATTATTTGCTAATCATGAATTTCTTAAATTCAGCTTCTGTGGTTTATTAATTTCTGGTAATAATGTGCATGATTAATTTTTTGTACTTCATATTATGCTTTGTGATATGATTACCTGCAGCTAATTACTATAAACATAATTTTGAGTACAATTAATTCATATAACCTCTGGTCAAGATCAATTTATATAACCTGTGATCATGATCAATATCTCGTCTAACTACCTAAATAGGGTTAAACAATTTCTGCGTGATTTATAAACGCCATACGCAAGGGCAGTGTTGATGGCTCACTCTTTAAAGACCCTGTTTCACAAACACCATCACGTGAGTGCGATTAGAGAGCTCCTCGACCTTACCTCAAGGAGTTCTGTAACTCAGGCTGCAAGTACTGAAGCATTCTCCTGGAAGGGAATTAGCCTTATCATCCAGGTAGCCCCTAGCGGTGGCATAGAACCTTACCCACAACATCCAGGTAGCCCCTGGCGGTGGCGTAGAACCTTACCCCCAACATCCAGGTAGCCCCTGGCGGTGGCGTTGAACCTTACCCACAACATCCAGGTAGCCCCTGGCGGTGGCGTAGAACCTTACCCCCAACATCCAGGTAGCCCCTGGCGGTGGCGTTGAACCTTACCCACAACATCCAGGTAGCCCCTGGAGGTGGCGTAGAACCTTACCCACAACACCCAGGTAGCCCCTGGCGGTGGCGTAGAACCTTACCCACAACATCCAGGTAGCCCCTAGCGGTGGCATAGAACCTTACCCACAACATCCAGGTAGCCCCGGTGGCGGTGGCGTTGAACCTTACCCCACGACATCCAGGTAGCCCCTGGCGGTGGCGTTGAACCTTACCCACAACATCCAGGTAGCCCCTGGAGGTGGCGTAGAACCTTACCCACAACATCCAGGTAGCCCCTGGCGGTGGCGTAGAACCTTACCCACAACAACATCCCCTGGCGGTGGCGTTGAGGTAGCCCCTGGCGGTGGCGTAGAACCTTACCCACAACATCCAGGTAGCCCCTGGCGGTGGCGTAGAACCTTACCCCCAACATCCAGGTAGCCCCTGGCGGTGGCGTAGAACCTTACCCCCAACATCCAGGTAGCCCCTGGCGGTGGCGTAGAACCTTACCCCCAACATCCAGGTAGCCCCTGGCGGTGGCGTAGAACCTTACCCCCAACATCCAGGTAGCCCCTGGCGGTGGCGTAGAACCTTACCCCCAACATCCAGGTAGCCCCTGGTGGTGGCGTAGAACCTTACCCCCAACATCCAGGTAGCCCCTGGTGGTGGCGTAGAACCTTACCCACAACATCCAGGTAGCCCCTGGTGGTGGCGTAGAACCTTACCCACAACATCCAGGTAGCTCTGGCGGTCGCGCATTGGGTCGGTGTTGACTTGACACATGTACCAGCCTCTGTCCTTCTCCCTGACGTTGCTGAGGTAGAGGTGCCAGGAGCGGTTGTCGTTGTGCAGGAGGGAGATCCTCGGGTTCCTGGTGATGACGTGGGTGTGGATCGTCAGCACCGTCTGGGTGTCCACCTGCACCCAAGCCACCTGCGGGAGGGACACCTGGTCATCGTGCTGCGTATTTACCCGCGACGACTCGCGTCAGATGCGGCGATCCCGCTCGAACTTTGATATCTCCTGAAGGAGTGACAGAATAAGCCTCGACATTTTCGTCGACTTTTCCTGGGATAGATAGATCAAGTTTTGGAGGATGCAGGATACAGAGAGTGTCCCTCATAGGATAGAGACTAACCTTAAAACCCTGGAGGTTTTCCACAGTGCACGGGAGGATAGTGTCTCGTCCCAGTGGGACTGTCACATTGTGAAAGTCTCCCACGATCCTGGGCAGTCCCCCCACCTCGACGTCTGACCCGGTGTTCTCGCTCCTCAGCGTCAGAGCTGAAGGCACGAGCGTGGTTAGTGAACAGCGGAGAACGCGTGTCATGTGTGTGTGTGTGTGTGTGTGTGTGTGTGTGTGTGTGTGTGTGTGTGTGTGTGTGTGTGTGTGTGTGTGTGTTATTACCTAAGTAATTCTCTAAGTGTAGTTACAGGATGAGAGCTACGCTTATGGTGTCCCGTCTTCCCAGTACACTTTGTCGTATAACCCCTTGAAACCACTGTGTGTGTGTGTGTGTGTGTGTGTGTGTGTGTGTAATGGCTCGGGAAAGGCAAGAAAAACAATGAACCAAACTGAAGTCAAGAGTAAATGGGAAGAAAGTGCGTGTGAGAAAGAGGCTGTAAGAGCCAGCAGGAAGTAACCAAGTTAGTGTAAACATTAAGCAGATGTCATAATATTATTTACATGCATAAGAGAGCAACTCTCTCATCTCCTTACTCACTAATAAACTACTGGATCGCAGCAGGAAATCTCGAAAACTCTGTATCTTATGCAATTTTAATTTAAAACCCCCTCATATGTTGTGGAAAGATTTAACATTAAATAATTAGATAAAGAATTAGCGCCCTTCCATTACTCTAGAACTGTGACATTTGCTTTGGGGAAACACTGAGGTGTCTTAGATAAAGGGGGGAGGCAGGCGAACTATCAGAAGAAAGCGTCAAGCCAATATGATGTATAACACTGGGAACGGGTCAGGATAAAGATCTAGGATGGGACGGGGGAAAGGAATGGTGTCCAACCACTTGGACGATCGGGGGTTGAACGCCGACCTGCATGCAGGGAGACCGTCGCTCTACCGTCCAGCCCAAGTGGTCTGGGCGAAACTTAGATAATGTATCACTGGCAACAATCAGTCTTCAAGCTATGCCCGTCCAACATGCTCCGACCCTCAAAATATTCATACATATTACCATAAAATGTATTTAATATTGGTATTTTCTGAAAGATAAATTAATATTATGTATTAGTTCAGTCTTTCTCAACCGGGGTTCCGCAAGAACACTGTTAATGTTTATTTTCTGCGTTTACAGATAAAGTTCATTTGTTGTGATCAATATATATAGAAGAAAAGAAATGAAAAGAAATGTACGAAAGATAGAGAAAATTCGTGTTAGAATTATTAATCTTACTTTTTCGGTCATATTTAAAATAATATATGTCTTGGACAGGAAAGACTGCTACCAAAATATACTAATATATATATATATATATATATATATATATATATATATATATATATATATATATATATATATATATATATATATATATATATATATATATATATATATATTACATTTATTATATAATAATTTTTGTGCATGGCTTCCTTATTCATGGGGGCGCCATGAAAATTATTTCAAAGGTTCTTCTACGAACTCATCACATATACAAACACATAATTTCTATGATCTCATCACATATATGATCTCATCACCTATATGAACACATCACATACGAACAAATCGCTTCTATGAACACATCTCTAAGTTCTGCGAAGCTGAACCGAAGCGAAGTTCATTAATGCTGGATTTCTGAAACAAAAATGAAGGAAAACCAGACCTACACGCCCACAATTACTCTACGGACACACAACTCCGGGTTTCACTTGCACTGCACGATATGGGGCGAACCATTTTATCGATTACACATAGTCTTTGGGATCGAAAGCAAAAGCTTAATTGAATTCACAGGTAGAGTATCCTGCACAGTCGCCGCTGATACACGCGTCAATCGAACGGTTAGGTTAAGCACAGCTGGTCGTGGCCAGCGCTGGATGGATGACGCAATAGGCATCCCATCATATGGATATTTCAGTGAGCCACCCATACCCCCGTCTTTCCTCCTCGCCCTACGAGCATTAGACCTGGTACAGGTGTACACAACAGACTTTCCTGTGGGCTCTTAGTTTTTTTGGCATTTGCATACAGCAGAATTGTCTGTGAACTTTAACATGTTTCTCGTGAATCTTAACAAGATTCACTGAAATTTGGCAGGAATCCCCATGAACTTCAGCAGGGTTCCCCATGAACTTCAGCAAAGTTCCCCATGAACCTAAGCAACGTTTTCCATAAACTTCAGCAGAGCTTCCAATAAACTTCAAAAGGGATTTGCCCTTGCTATGTAGCAGAACCATCACATAGCACCACAGACCAACAGACCTTCCAGGTAATGTAGTAGACTAACTCAATATAGATCATGAAATATGTTAATAAATCCTCAAGATTAATATAGTGTTTGTAATCATTTCACGTAGAATGTGTACGTAAAACACATTCGTTCGTAATGTGAAAACACGTTCGTACGAAAACATTCGTTCGTAATCAGAAAACACGTTCGTAAACTCGCCGAATGACATGGCATCGCCAACAATCCCCACCAATACTACGATACTCTGAAAGTCTAAGTTTCAACAATAATAACAATTCTCAAGTCAATGACACAGATAAGTAAACACTAGAACACGTAAGAGCTAGAAAAAAAAGAGCGTGATAAAAAAGAGGGGACAATAGTGAAGGAGAATAGAGAGGGGGGGAAATAAAGGAGAAATAGATGACATAAGACGTCGATGACACTCCATTGGCCACTTTTGCCCTCCCATCACGAGAGCTCGGCTCGAGTAGAGTAATCAGCGTTTATAACAACCCAACCCTGGCTGAGTGCTCAACACTATCACCCGGATCAACACTCACAGCTCCTGCTCAGTCTCCTCTTCTTCCTCCTGCTACTCCTCCTCCTGCTCATGCACCCTTCTTCAACTCCTCTTTTTCCCCATTCCACCTTTCCTCTTCTTATTAAGTTGAGTAATTTAACAGTTAGACGCAATACACTCACATACATACAGCCTGTCGTGGAACCTCCATCTCAAGAACACAACAGGAAACTTGAAAAAAAAGAATAAAAGTTTGTAACGCGGCTGAAAATTACGAGGGAGTGTTGACCAGACCACACACTAGAAAATTGAAGGGACGACGACGTTTCGGTCCGTCCTGGACCATTCTCAAGTCGATACTTCAGCCACGTTATTGTGACTCATCGCCTGCATTACGAGGGAGTGATTGTGAAGAAGAGATATGTGAGTGAGATCTTTTCAGTGAGATAAACACGGAAAAAAAGACTCATTATCACTTCAAGACTTATCTAAATAAGGTTTTGAAATGGTCAAAAGATTGACGGATGCAGTTTAGTGCTGACTCAATGTAAGGTTTGATGATAGATTTACAAGATACGAGCCAGATATTGTTGAAATTGTGAAATCGGATTGCGAAAAGGGATCTGAGTTATGATTAGTAAGAATTTAAAACCAAAAAATTTATGCGTAAATGTTCGTAATAAGATAAACAGGATACTGATATTTATTTCTAGAAGTGATAGTAATAAAACACCTGGTGTTATTCTTCAGCTATAGCTTGCTCTTGTTAGGCCTGTTTAGTTTACGCAGTTCAGTTTTGGTCGCCATACTATAGAATGGATATAAATTCTCCAGAACGAGTCCAGTGTAGAATGACAACTTTATCCCGCAAATTAGACACATGTCATATGAAGAATGATTGACAAAGCTTAATTTACATTCTCCAGAAAGGCGAAGAATTAGGGGTGACATGATAGAGGAGTACAAGTGGATGAATGGGCAAATTCACAAGGGCCGTGACGAGGGTTCGAACCTACGTCCGAGAGGATCCCAGACGTTGCCTTAATCGACTGAGCTACGACAGGGTTAAAATAATTGCAACCGGAAGTTCTACTGATCTTACTCGGATCCTGCAGCCTCTCCGAGACACAAACCAGGTTTTTACTCAATTCTCCCCCATGCACCCGAGCTCTGTCAATAAGCTGTTCTATCTCTTCGCCCTTACTTCATTACTCTCAGAAATTACAATAGCGTGATGCATCAAATGAACAAATTCACAAGGGCCGTGACGAGGGTTCGAACCTACGTCCGAGAGGATCCCAGACGCTGCCTTAATCGACTGAGCTACGACATGGTTCATTTGATGCATCGCGCTATTGTGATTTCTGTGTGTAGAGGATAAATGGGCATAACAAAGGGGATATTAATATGGTATTAAAAGTATCAACACAAGACAGAACGAAACAATGGGTATAAATTGGATAAGTTTAGATTTTGGAAAGACCTGGGTAAATAGTGATTCGGTAACAGGATTGTTGATTTGTGGAACCAATTACCGCGTAATATAATAGAAGTAGGAACCCTTGATTGTTTCAAGCGTAGGTTAGACATATATATGAATGAGATTTGGTGGGTATAAATAGGACCTGTCTCGTATGAGGCAATAGGCCTTCTGCAATTACCTTCATGCTTATGTTCTTATTAATCCGACTTCGCAATCTCAACACTATCTAGCTCGTATCTTGTAACTCTATCGTCATAACCTAGCCTCAAACCTTTATATTTGACAGCATTAAGAGCTGTACAGCACGGAGAGCTGTACCAAACGTCGTTTGGAAAAGAGGAGAGAGATAATAATAGACATAAAATACTTGGGGGGCGCCAACCCCGACCCCTCACCACCACCCCCCTCCACCACCCCTCCATCAACACCCCTCCACCACCACCACACACCCAGTACCACGTCTCTACCACCACCCCTACCACCACCACCATCACTGTCTCCACCACCATCACTACACCATCACTACACCACCACCATCACCACCACTGCCTCCACCACTACCACCACCACCACCACCCACTATGACGACCGCTGCTACTTCCACTACCATCAGTCACTACCACCACCTAGACCATGACCACCACAACCAGCATCGCTACTACCACCACAACAACCACCGTCACCATTACATCCACTTCTAGCATCACCACCACCCTCTCCTCTACAACCACCACCACCACCACCACAATGTCAAGCTCCTCAATAAATCACATGAATTCGTTTTTAGCTTTAGCTGAACTTCATAGGAAGACTAAAGTTTAACCCCTGACGACGTCGGCGGCCAGGAAGACAGGTCTCATTGGCACTTGACATGATGCTTGACCTGAGAAATTGCTGAAAAATAAAAAAACATGGAGAGAGAGAGAGAGAGAGAGAGAGAGAGAGAGAGAGAGAGAGAGAGAGAGAGAGAGAGAGAGAGAGAGAGAGAGAGAGAGAGAGAGAGAGAGAGAGAGAGAGAGAGAGAGAGAGGGGAGAGAGAGAAAGAGACAGCGTGGGGAGGAGCGAGACTGAGACAGAGAGATAAAGAGAGACAGAGACAGTCAGAAACAGATCTCAAAGCAGATCTACACTTTCGATATCTGAATATTTAATATTTTATATCTGAGCTTCTTATTTGCATCAAACTGAATTAAAAAAAACTATATATTACAACACAAAATTAAAAAAAAAATTGTAATAAGAAAATATAATCATAATTATATCCCCTGAATGTATGACAACATTTAGACAACAAAAATCTATTTTTGGCATGTTTTTATGGCAATTTGTGATTTAATGAATATATTCAAGCACGATTGCGCTAAAGTATGCACACACACGCTTGCATGTGTGAACACACACACACACACACACACACACACACACACACACACACACACACACACACACACACACACACACACACACACACACACACACACACACAGATGTCAACAAATGCACCTGTGTAAAGGTTTACACAGGTTTGCAAATGCTTACAAAGGTACGTGACGGTAATTATGAGAAGGAGGTGTATAATATAATATAATATGAAGTGTATAATATAATATGAATGGAGTATAATATAGCCATACTGGCTATATTATAATTGGGATAGGGATTTGAGGACAAGGAGCTGGGATATGAGGATATTGAGCTAGGAAATGAGGATATGGAGCTGGGATATTAGGATATGGAGCTGGGATATTAGGATATGGAGCTGGGATATATTAGGATATGGAGCTGGGATATGAGGCCGACTCTTCACCTACATCAATAGGCGAACCATTCTATATCCTCCGTTATGCTTAACACTATATTCACCCAGTACATTTTAAAATGCTATTACCTTTCATCGTCTCGAGCGACATAAGGGCGAGAGCCACGAAGAGCACCGTGTACCGGCCGTCCATCTTGACCGTGGGAACCGCGCTGACGGCCCAAATCACACCTGTGGATAATTCACGTCCCTCCTCGCTGCCAGGGTGCCATGTGGCCTCTGGCACCTGGCATTGGTTGCCAAGCAGATGCTAGGTGTGTGCTGATTGGACGGCTATGTGGCACTAAGGTCAAGCCTGCTGAGTTGATCGGGGCCCTTGCTGCTTGAGCTGAGGTGGTGAGGGGGGATAGTAAGCTGGAAGAGAGGGGAGGGAGCGAAGGGGGATGGAGAGGGGTAAGAAGTGGATGGATGCTAGGGATTTAGGTAGCACCTGTCTTAAGGCTGAGAAGGGACGGCTTACAAGCTGGCGTGCACACACGTCCACTGGTGGTCCACACACGTCCACTGGTGGTCCACACACGTCCACTGGTGGTCCACACACGTCCACTGGTGGTCCACGCACGTCCACTGGTGGTCCACACACGTCCACTGGTGGTCCACACACGTCCACTGGTGGTCCACACCGGCCTGGGTGTGGACCAGGGGGCCGGCCAGACACTCAGCGCTGACACCTGCGGAGGTAAACAAGACAGGTTACTGGCACTGCTGAACAGGCTTCCGTAGTGGTGGCGGTGGTGGTCACTGGAAGGGCAGTTGCAACAGTTGCTGCAGTCAACATCTTGCAGACGAGGAATATTAGTGGTTGAAGAGTTGTGTCGAGGACTCTTTGAGTTGTGTAACCAGGGAGGGGGGGGGAATCTCGTGACGATGACGTAAACACTTTCTAAGATGCTAAGAGTTAAGATGTCACTCTGGCAGCTGGAAATCAGAGGAGTGAAATCGCGGAGAGAGTGAGGCTCATCACTTCACGCTCATCTCCTGTATCAAAGAACACAACGTGCCTGAGTGCCCAACCTGTACGGTAAAAGATACCCACACAGGCACTGCAACCTGTTCTCGCACTTGCTTATAGTCAATATTGGCTTATTTAATAAGTGCTTATGTGACATACCAATTGGTTGTGAATATTTTAGTTTACCTTGAAAAGCTTCATAGAAAACACCGACCTCACCTAACCTTCTTAGTATGTTAAGATAAGCATCTTATTGCTTCTTAATTACAATTATTACTTAACCTATACCGTTGACAGGTTAAGTAATCGGCACAGACACGATGTTTAAGGTATATCGTGAGGTATTTAACGGTACCTACCGACCCTTACAGTTCCAATATTTACAACTGAGAACATCACCAGATCCGAGATCTAAGGGTTAAGGATCTCTGTGTTTAAAATAGTTTCCAATACTAAGATTATTGGAAACACAAACTGAAAGGTAAATTGTGGATTGGAAATTCTTAGAATGTAATGAAGTTCTTTCGACAGCGATAGCATGCAGTATCAAAATAAGGAAATTGTATATAATGAATATCTTTATGGATTACGGGACATTTAATAGATGGCAAGAATTTATGTGAATAAAAATCTCCTCAAACTCCTGTTAAATATATTGATTGGAAAAGCATTTAATTCTAACAACTGATGCAAGTACAGTAGTTAATTTCAATATCAAATAATTTGTAATTATTAGAAATAATTTGCAATAATGTGTAATCACGCTGTGGGTGGCTTATTCTGCCCATACACGACGAAGTCACAATAACGCGGTTTATTTACGAGAAAAAAATCTTTGGAGCAGAACAGCAGGACTGATCCCGCCGCCCTGCTCCACGTTACTCAATGAGGGCGACGTTCATCGGGAAGTTTACCAGAGTGGGTAAGGGAGCACCTCTGTAAAAGTTTGTTTTGAAAAATAAATGGAAGATATATATGTCTTTTTCCCCTGATACAACTGTGCCTTATATATCTGACTAGGTCTGAGAGATAGACTCCTTTCCTCGGAAGAATTTTCGTTATAAATGGGTCAGTCGGGGAGCTGTCTATAAACCATTATTATTGATCGTTAGCCATGACCCACTATTGAAAGAGTGACGATCTAGTAATGCTGGGCTGTAGCATAGGCAATACTAAGGTCAATAATGTTCTTTCTATGCTGCCTATGTAACTTTACCGTCACCTTCGGAAGATGTTTATGGTAAATTGACGGAAATTAAAGATACGGTGCTGAATACAATCCCACGTTCAGTCCTTGCAAATATGTTGTAGTCGTTTTTAATTAGGTTCATTTTATTAAAAGCTTCAACTGAAACCACTAGAATTCTAGTAATAGGAATGACAGAGAGACAGACAGACAGACATCTGGTCCATATTAAATTCTCACCCGCTTGTCAACTTACAGGATGACATCAGACACCTGAAAATCAGAAGAAATATCATACTGAGGGAATTTGGTCATCTTGACACCGGGTCTAAATCATTAAGTTGTACGGTTGTCAATTAAGGCACCTTCAAAATCATGACTTTTTAATCTAAGTTATGTATGGAGGAAATGTTCACGATGTATCCTCAAGAATCATAAGCAACTTTTGACAAGCCGCTAGGTTGGCTCCTTTTCCGTGGAGGCCATTGGAGATGGTGGCCCTGCAGTAAATTTAGGCCACCACTTCTTACTAAATATACATCCTCGAACTCATTCCAACTTACCGATTGGCTTGATGTCTACGCCCTCAGTTCAACTTGATGATACCTACACAAATGATTTTAAACTAATCACCCACTCAGCTAACAACTTGATTTCTTCCAAGTGCTATATAGTCATAATGGCTTGGCGCTTTTGCATGATAATTCCCTCCCCTCCCTCAGCTAACAGCATTAAATTTTCTTAAAATTTCACTTATCACTGGCCACTCGACCTTTGAAAAAATTATCACATGTTAACAAAATCTATACAAATTACGAATGAGTGGCGCGTGTAATCTTGCGTGACAGATCTACGCGGCAAAATACAGCAATAACTATAGCCACCAAGGGGAAAAAATTGGCATATATTTCTTTCCCGGAAACTATATATATTATAAAGAAATTGCTGCCAGAAAGAGATGGCTGGTTGACGTGCCGTGACAATGCTGTCAATGTCAGCTCCCTGTCATGTATGAGCTTTGTTCAAAATTATTTTGATCCAGGTTAGTTCTGATGTTGAGCTGAAAACATTATCAATCAATTAATCGTGACCTTCATTCATAAATTGTTGTATATATTATTGGCTAAAGAGATTAATATAAATTCATTTGGTGATTAATTCTAAATGTATAATGAGTCTTTATTTATTAATAAACGCCGTTCGATCATTCTTACTATTATCATAGTTGTTATTATAATTACTACCATTATTATTATTTTTGGAATTGATGACGGACCTAAAGTTCATTATGAGAATGATGAATTTGATGATAATAAGACAGATTACAACTACTACTAATACCAGTTATTTATTCTCATTCTTAAAAACAGTATTGTGTATCCTAAAATTCTCATCAACTTCATCACTAATTTTAGTTCCTTTATCAATTCCATTCCCAAATAACCGAGCAAGATGATTGAGAATACGCGGCCCTCCTCAGACGCGTGTAGCCTCCAGAGGGGGAAGAAGGGGGGAATAGGGGGCTGCTATAGGAAGTTTGTGGGTCTTGTTTGTTGTGTGTGTGTGTGTGTTACCTCCCCGACTGTCAATCACCGAGGGTTATTACTCAATCACCCGGTCCTTGGTCTGTAATCACGAGCCTCTCCACCGGGATTGCTTGGCCAACCTCGTTAGCCCAAGATCAATCGCGACCTCTTGTCGTGTGCTGCGATTTTTTGGGTTGTTATTGTTGTTTATACGTGTTTATGTATGCGTTTGCCTATATATTTGTTTTGTTTGTGCGATTTATTTGTTATAGTTATTTGTTTCTCTTTGGCTTCATTGTTTGTCTGCGGGGTGCGGGAGGGGGAGAAGGGAAGATGGGGAGAGAGAGAGAGAGAGAGAGAGAGAGAGAGAGAGAGAGAGAGAGAGAGAGAGAGAGAGAGAGAGAGAGAGAGAGAGAGAGAGAGAGAGAGAGAGAGAGAGAGAGAGAGAGAGAGTGAGAGAAATCCTACAGATTTAAACAAGTTCTCGCTCTTCAGCGTCCCACCTCCTCCTCATTTGGTCACTCAGAGTACCACAGCAAGACAATGGTTCGACTGTGAGTGACGTGTCCAGTTAAAGGGTTAAGTCACCCGCATCCTGTCATGAGTGGCGCTTATGTAGCCCCCTCGTAACGCCAGCCAGATCAAGAGTGATGATAGGCTGGGCCGCACTCTCCCACTAGTCAACACGAGGTGGACGGCGTACCCCACACCTGGGGCAAGATTCACGAAGCATTTACGCAAGTACTTACGAACGTGTACATCTTTCCTGAATCTTTGATGGCTTTGGCTACATTTATTAAACAGTTTACAAGCATGAAAACTTGCCAATCAACTGTTGTTATTGTTATAAACAGCCTCCTGGTGCTCCGGAGCTCATTAACTGTTTAATAATTGTAAACAAAGCCGCCAAAGATTTAGAAAAGATGTAAAGATTCGTAAGTGTTTGCGTAACTTTTTGGTGAATCTGGCCCCTGGTCATTAACAAGGTGTCTGGTACTGCTACACACCATGTAGGAAAGTGAATGAATCGACCCGTCGTTATGTTGTATAAATATGTATACACACAATAAAAAAAATCATTTTCGAACTATAACATTTATTAAAAAAATAGAAAACTATATGAAGTAAATCGAAAATGAGAAAGTTTCAAGGGGGATTAAATGAAAAATAAAAACGTATCATATGCGTGTTCTAGCATAACTTAGGCCTGACTGAACTTCTTATAGGCCTTATTCTAGCCTTAAGTTAAGTTATGATAGACAGTCATAGATTAAGGTATGTTGGGTTTTGGTGTTAGTTGTATCCACTTAAAAATGAACTGATTCATATCCTCGATTTTCTTTCTTGTAGTTAATTTTTGTAATAAATTAGTTTTAAAGCACACTTTTAAATATGAATATATAAGAATGGCAATAACGTGAGGACTGACTTAATTTAAAGATGCTTCATAAATTATATATATATATATATATATATATATATATATATATATATATATATATATATATATATATATATATATATATATATATATATATATATATATATATATATATATATATATATATATACATAATTTCATAACTAATTGACAGAAATAAGGGAAATATACAGTACTGAATATAACCTCACGTTCACTCCTATAACAAACAATCAGACGTCAAGGTGGTCACTGAATACTTATTAACTGGGTGCCAAGTCATGTAGGAACGCCAGGGAACGTGAGTGCAGATGAAGCCGTAAACCTTGAAACTAAAGATGAATGGAAACATTTACATCCCACAGTGTGTAGCACAGATTGCGAGCAGAATTAGATGTAGAGAAATGCAAATGCACATTGACCATAATGCAGCGTCAATATCTGCGGGCTGCTACATGATTTCAACCAACTACAAACCACTTATTTCGATGAAAGGGAACAGAAAAACATAAATGCACTTACACCCATCAGGCTTGGATACCCACGTGCATGGGAAATAGGCTTACAGGTTCCAGAAGAAGGAAAATATCAGTATTGTGATACTGATACCAGAGGAAATATCAGTATTATGATACTGATACCAGAGGAAATATCAGTATTGTGATACTGACCCCAGAGGAAATATCAGTATTGTGATACTGACCCCAGAGGAAATATCAGTATTGTGATACTGATACCAGAGGAAATATCAGTATTGTGATACTGATACCAGAGGAAATATCAGTATTGTGATACTGACCCCAGAGGAAATATCAGTATTGTGAAGAAGTGCCAGACAGATCACTGGAACATTATCTAACACAGTGTACTTACAAACTAATAAGATTTCAACGGAAATTTAACACCACAGAAGAAGTTGCTAAACTCACTGGACATAATCTTTCTGAAACCATCAAACGAGTCATAAATACTCACCCATCGCCTAAATAAGATAGTACTGAAATACACTTAGTGGACCACCCATAGGCTTAGGGCCCGCACTGGAACATCACTGGAAAAATAAACTGTTTAGTCAAAAACAGTTACGACTTTTACGTATTACGTAAATCGTATTATACGTATTATTTAAATCATCAACTAAAATAGCATGAATACTATCGTTAACTAATACTATGTGTCTACATTCTCTTCTTATTCCAAAAAAGCATAACTACAGTACCACTGTCAAGTCCTGGGACTAAAGCAACCTTTATGGCCTGAAAGGTTCATCACGGATGAACCTTTCAGACCATAAAATGCTTCCATACTAACGTGACCCTTTCACACCTGACATTAGTCTCTGGAGCTTTCAAGCAAATTATCATACATCTTTTATTTAGTTGACGATTTGCAATAATAACAAAAATTATCATGCATAATTTAGCAGGTTGACAATGTGCAATAATAAAGTAAATTATTACACACCTTTTAGCACGTTGAGCCCAACCACTTGGGCTGGACGGTCTCGCTTCATGCAGGTCGGCGTTCAATCCCCGACCGTCCAAGTGGTTGGGCACCATTCCTTCCCCCCGACCCACTACACATCCTTATCCTGACCCCTATTAAGTAGTGTACAGGAGTAATGGCGTGGCGTTTTCTCCTAATAGTTACCATCCCTTTAGCAAGTTGATGATGTGCGATAATTAGGCAAATTATTATACAGCCTTTAGCAGGATGACGGTATGCGATAATTATGTAAATTATCATACACCCTTCAGCAGATAGACAGTGTGCGATTGTCAAGTAAATTATCATAACCATTTAGAAGGTTAACAATGTGAGATAATCAAGTTAATTATCATACATCCTTCAGCAAGTTTATTTATTTAATAATCAAATAAATTCTCACATACTCTTCAGCAGACTGGTAATGTGCGATAATCAGCATACATGTACAATTTTCTTTCCCACCGAGGTGCAACATCTTTCCCACTCGGGCCAGATTCACGAAAGCACTTACGAACGTGTACATCTTTCCTCAATCTTTAACGGCTTTGGTTACATATATTAAACAGTTTACAAGCATGAAAACTTGCCAATCAACTGTTCTTATTGTTATAAACAGCCTCCTGGTGCTTCGGAGCTCATTAACTATTTAATAATTGTAAACAAAGCCGCCAAAGATTGAGAAAAGATATACAGGTTCGTAAGTGCTTGCGTAAGTGCTTTCGTGAATCTGCAGATCTATAAATCACCTGCACCACTAATAACTACCACTACCTCTGCTGGTGGTTGTGGTATCCTGTGATTGCTGAAGGACTCCGATCCCACAACGTGAGCCTCAAGCCCGCTTCATGCAGCAGCCGAGTTATTTATCGAAATGCAACTCAAAATTCGATCATTTTCTCTCACAGGACAAGAAGGGTGCTCTTGAGGGAGTGCGTGTTTTGAGCGTGTGACGGGAGAGTCAGACGCGCCTGTGCTCACTCTACCCCGCCAGACGTACGACTGAAGGTCCCCCGAGTGCCTGAGCCACGAGTCCCGCCTAGGCCACTCCCACTCAGCTGATCCGTGTTTACTTCTAGTCCTCTTTAACAGTTTTGCCCCATGGGGCGAGGTTAATGGGTACCATTGCTCTCTCGCAAATAGCCATGTACATATACAAGATATACACGACATGACATATGCGAAAATCAATTAGAGCAATGCCGGGATTTGAACCCCTCTACATGCGTACTCACCCAAGTCACACACTGTACCTCTGGACCACAATATGGTATTTTGATTGTTGCCGCCTGCGTCGGCTAGTTTATTGTGCACCCGATACTCATCCTGTGAGCCGTAGCACAAAGAAAGGATTACAGAGGGCACAAAAGGTCTTTATCAGATCTCAACATATATTGTTATATAAACAATTACATCTATCCTGGTCACCTTATAATTATAGTCAGTTTTTAACAGAGATTGTTCTATTTCAATTCCATCCGGCATTGCCCCAATCGAATTGATCATTAATATACCACGTTAGAGTATTTCCTGTTTAAATAACATATATTATCTAGAATCATTGAGCAGAAGATTGACTAACATGGAACGTCTCCAGGACTAACAACTAGACTAACATGTATTTTCTGATTTTTGTCTGTAGGGATAACGCTCCTATCAATAATGTCTTTCAGAACCCTTTCCTCCAATTTATGAGCCGTCGAAAAGAAGTTCCTGTAAAACAGTCTAATAGGGGGGTACAGGTGTTGTGTTAGTTGACTCTTGGGAGGTTTCATGGCGTTTCACCTTTCTTTTTATTACGTCTTCAACAAAACCGTTGAGAAGCCATTGTTGAGAAGCCATTATTGACTAGGACCTACCTTACCCTACAGAGTTCTTCATCTGATTTCGTGTTCGCCAAAGAGGAGTTTTGACTCACCCCTTTAGCACTATAGTATGAACGGGTAGAGGGGCTGGAAATGGCGATGTACGGCACAAAGCACTGCATCCCTTCTGACCATGTTGAACGCATTCTTAAAGTCCAGTTTGAGCAGGGCCTTTTCGTCAGAAATGTTGGTGATGTATGCTCGTGCTGCATGAGCAGGCGTTTCACAGCCTTGGAGGATCTCAAATCCTAGCTGAATTGGTTTCAGCAATTCAGCAGGTTGCTGGCTGACAATCCTCGTAGTAGCCTTGGCAACCAGGCGTCGGAGAGTGTTGCCAACAGCGATTGACCTGATTCCATCGTCCTTCTTTTTGAGAGCACAGAGAGAGGCACCAAAAAAGAAGGGCCTGATGACCTCAGGTATATCACCAGACAGGCACGCATTGACGAACCTTGTGAGTTCCAAAAGATCTTGTGCAGCATCACCAATCATAGGATTTAACATTTGCTTGATGTGTTGAGGTTTTAATCCTGTAAAGCGCCTGCTGACCCAGGTGGAAAAAAAGGGCTGCTTTGTAGACCTCAGATTCACCAACAGTTAATGGGTCTGAAATGATCTTGGCTGGTAGTGGAACGATGTTGTCGCCTTGAGGGGCTCTGGGTGGGTGCTTGCTTTCCAGGGCCCGTGCTGTGGCTGAGTTTCGAGGAGCAATTTTCTCGTCACTGGTAAGGACTCTTATAGCACTTGCGGTGTTTCCCTATACAATTTTCTTTGTGATTTCTGCTCTGATTTTGTACGTTTCCGATATGTTGTTGTTATAATTTCTACGGTGGGTGTGTTTTGCTCGAAAAGGCAGGGGAACTAGGTTATCCCCCCTTGGGTATTCATTTATCGCCCACAGGACTGAGGATGCAAGTGATTTGTCCCTCCTTGGAGGGACGGTGAGGCATACATGGCCTAACAAAAGGACATTATGCCACGCTTGAATGTTTTCCGGGGCGTCATTGACCCTTTTCAGAAGATTACAGAGTTTGTGGCTGCTGCATTTGGGCGGGCTGTTTTCGGAATGTGTGGTAATGTTCTAGCAGAAGTCGCTATGATCGCTTGAGTGAGGTTCTCAGATGAGATTAAGTTAATGAGAGTGTCTTCCCTAACTGTTAGTGGCAGCTGGTCATTGCTTTCCTTTGGAGGCTGGTGGGAACCTCTACATTTGGCTTCATTGAAGGTGTGTAAGCGGATAACACCACCGTTAATGTTTATGGTGGTGTTTTTGTTGCATACTCGGCAACAACCTCTTCTAGAAGTATTTGTTGGCACCTCAAGGCTTGTGGAGTCCTGCCCGACTGCTGGGACCCCTTCCATTTCAACTCAGATGAGAGAGTTAAACTGTGCATTATTCTATAGAGGGGGGGGGGGAGGGCAAACATATTGGGTCATGGCATATATATATATATATATATATATATATATATATATATATATATATATATATATATATATATATATATATATATATATATATATATATATATTATATAATATAAACAGAGTCAGACCACGGAGGAAAATTGAAACAGGAATTTCCTTAAATACTTTCGTATATTAATACATCTTCAGAAGGAGTCTGAAGCTAAAAATGTCCTCCAAAAAAATTCCTTGGAGGAAGACCAAGGAATAATATCCCGCATAATAAGGGCGTTGGTGAGAGTGCCCATCACCCCTGGCCATCATCCTGGGCAAGGTCCTGTATTTGGTCCCGGCGATAACCCTGCTGCTGTTGGCCGGGTCCTGCATCATAATGACGATGGTCGCTGCGGCGCCGCTCTTCTTCCTGGGCTACATCCTCAGCCCCATCACCACTATCTTCAGAGACATCACCACCTTCCTAGTCTTCCTCGTCTTCGCCGTCCTGCTCCCGCTCATTATGCTGGTATATGTGCTGTTCCAGATTCTGGCCCCGGAAGAGAATAAGGAGGACCTGCGGAAGGTCTGGGAGGTGCTGGGAATTTGGGGGTTCTTCTCTTCGCTCGAGTGCCGGTATGTACCGCGAAGCTCTCTGTGTTGGAGTTCCTGGTAGGTCCGGAGCTGGCGTTGGAAGAACCATGATCATGATCCTCCTCCCCCACCTCGATGCTCGCCTAAAAGACAGTCCCCGTAGTTTGTGTCTCGCTCGCTTGGTTTCGGGCGACTCGCTCACGTGGTTTGACCCCTAGGGGTAGAAGCGAGCGCCCTCGGGGTAGAAGCGAGCGCCCTCGGGGTAGAAGCGAGCGCCCTCGGGGTAGAAGCGAGCGCCCTCGGGGTAGAAGCGAGCGCCCTCGGGGTAGAAGCGAGCGCCCTCGGGGTAGAAGCGAGCGCCCTCGGGGTAGAAGCGAGCGCCCTCGGGGTAGAAGGGAGTGCCCACGGGGTAGAAGCGAGCGCCCCCGCAGCAGGAGCAGGAGTTTTCACTGGGAAAGTAAGCTGATGTTACACTGACGATAATTTGTTTAAAAAATGATCTACAACCAAATATTGTTAATTAAATTCTTGCACATTAATTGGACAATTGTTCTAGTTACCTCAATTTTTTCTTGCATTCCGTCACTCTGTGATACTAGGCGTGTGAATAATTTTATTGACATTTTTCATTTTGGTCGGGATGATTGGGTTGTGCTCGTGTGTGTGTGTGCTCACCTAGTTGTCCTTGCGGGGTTGAACTTTGACTCTTTGGTCCCGCCTCTCAACTGTCAATCAACTGGTGTACAGATTCCTGAGCCTACTGGGCTCTGTCATATCTATATTTGAAGCTGTGTATGGAGTCAGCTTCCACCACATTACTGCCTAATGCATTCCACCTGTTAACTACTCTGACACTGAAAAATTCTTTCTAACGTCCCTATGGCTCATTTGGGTACTCAGTTTCCACCTGTGTCCCCTTGTTCGCGTACCACCCGTGTTAAATAGCTTATCCTTATCTACCCTGTCAATTCCCCTTACTCTTCTGTCTTCCAGTGTCGTGAGGTGCATTTCCCGCAGCCTTTCCTCGTAACTCATGCCTCTTAGCTTTGGGACTAGCCTAGTGGCATACCTCTGAACTTTTTCGCGCTTCGTCTTGTGCTTGACATGGTACGAGCACCATGCTGGGGCCGCATACTCCAGTATTGGTTTGTGTGGGGGGGGGGGAGTGTGATGGGGGGGTGGAGTGTGAAAGTGTGTGTGTGTGTGTGTGTGTGTGTGTGTGTGTGTGTGTTTGAGTGTGTATGGGGAAGGGAGGGAGGGGAAGAAGGAAGGAAGGATGGGATGGGGTGTGTGGTAGTGTATGATTGCGGGAGAGAGGGATGTGGAAGGGTATGGGAAACGGTATGGGGATATGGGATGGGGGATATGGGAGTGGTATGGGATACGAAGGAGTGTTCTGGGAGAGCGAGAGGGAGTTGGGATGGTTCCGAGACCCTTGCCACACAGGTGTCAAAACCATCCTACGCTGAATAAGCCACCTGAGATTTCTAAATATCGATGAAATATTGATGAAATTTATATTTTAAATTACTCCAGCTAGTTGACTACCAACAGAACCTACCAGCCAAGCCTTCCCGATCAACACAACCAGGTGTGGGTGGTGGGAGGTGTGTGGGGTCGTTGTCCAGGTGTGGGTGGTGGTAGGTGTGTGAGGGGTCGTTGGCCAGGTGTGGGTGGTGGTAGGTGTGTGAGGGCTCGTTGGCCAGGTGTGGGTGGTGGTAGGTGTGTGAGGGGTCGTTGGTCAGGTGTGGGTGGTGGTAGGTGTGTGAGGGTCGTTGGCCAGGTGTGGGTGGTGGGTACTTGCTGGTGGCCGGCCACTCCCCCTTACAGTCTTCCCCTCTTGTCCCTCCCCTCCCCACAGACGTACAGGAACCTCTCAACACCCCCAGTAAGATTTAAGGTCCCGTGTGCATCCTGTAAGATTAATAGTTACTGATTTCTCCCAGTATGCAACTTCCAGGTATGCCTGTTTACTGGTAGCAGGAAAGAGGCACCGGATGAAAGGAAAAGCGCCCAGCCGCTTCTGTCCCACAGTTACGAGCCAATGGCGTAGACCACTGCGCTAAATCCTCTATGGTGGGGCTGTGAGTACCTGTCGCATATGCACTACTTTACGTCATCGCTAATCTTTTAACACATATAACCTAATCCACCCTAACCTATCCTATCCTAACCTAACCTATCCTATCCTAATCTAACCTAACCTATCCTATCCTAATCTAACCTATCCTATCCTAATCTAACCTATCCTAACCGATCCCAACCTAACGAAAATGAGAGATAAAAAGACGTATTTCTAATATGGCGCGTCTGAGGTGTGTGACGTCAGGCTGTAGATCCTCCCAGGCCAGGGAGGCCAGGGAGGCCAGGGAGGCCAGGGAGGCCGGGGAGGCCAGGGAGGCCAGGGAGGCCAGGGAGGCCGGGGAGGCCAGGGAGGCCAGGGAGGCCAGGGAGGCCAGGGAGGCCGGGGAGGCCAGGGAAGTCAGGGAGGCCAGGGAGGCCGGGCAGGCCAGGGAGGCCAGGGAGGCCGGGGAGGCCAGGGAGGCCAGGGAGGCCGGGCAGGCCAGGGAGGCCGGGCAGGCCAGGGAGGCCAGGGGGGCCAGGCCAGGCACACAGCGCGAGGAGAAGCACCTGGAGACAGGTCCTTACGGTACAGCGGCTGTCGTATAGTCGCCTCACAAAACATGGCCCAACATAGGTCACGGCCTCTGTGCTTGGCGAAGAGAAAGTGACGCACGGAATGTCTTATTTCCTCCACCCTATAGCAAAATTTTGTATAGGATTCTGGCGAGTGTACACAGGTATTGCTCGTTACTGCATTTGTTTGTAGTGTTGTGGTACAAGTTAAAGAAAACGGGAGGTGGGAGGGTTGGTGAGGGAGAGAGAGGGGGGAGAGGAGCATTCATGGGGTATAGTATATGCTGGAGTCCTCATGTCGCGCGCGCACATGTATAGCTACTCAAATGCATTAATACATGCACGTGGGTGTATGTAATCCATACATTCATACATACACCATAGTACACACGTGCGCGCGCGCACTCACACACACAGAAGGCAAATCTCCAACGCTCCTCCCCTCCTCCTCTGGTGATTGTACCACTAGGAGAGAGTGAAGTGGCGGAGTCAGTGTGTCTTGTGGCGCTGTGGTGGAGAGAGGGTACCCCGCTTGCTCGCTCTATCTCCCTCACTCACTCACTCCCTCACTCTCTCACTTCCCCCCCCCTCTCCCTCAACTTCCATCACGCTAGAGAGGACGATTCATCTGTTACTCATCACCAAACTTAGTGATGGGTCACTTGTAATCCAGGTGTTAAGGTGTGTATATTTATTTTGAGTTGTGAGAGCTCCAAGGTGTTGGTATATTTTGTATTGTGTGTGTGTGTGTGTGCTTGTGTGTGTTTTGTGTATGTACTCATTTGCTTGTGAATCGTGTATGCCCTCGAGGGCTTGAGTGCTTTGTGATGTTTACTTTCTCGTGTGTTTGTAAGTCATGTGTGCATTCTGAAGTGTTTGTAAATTACCTGTTTTGTGTGTGCATTCTGAAGTGATTGTAAATTACTTGGTCTAAGTGTGCATTCTGAAGTGTTTATAAATTACGTGGTGTGTGTGTGTGCATTCTAAAGTGTTTGTAAATTACCTGTTTTGTGTGTACATTCTGAAGTGTTTGTAAATTACGTGTTAAGTGTGCATTCTAAAGTGTTTGTAAATTACGTGTTGTGTGTGTGTGCATTCTGAAGTGTTTCTAACTTGTGTATTGAGCGTACGTTCTCAAGCGCTTGTGAGTTATGTGTTGTGAATGTTAGTGAAATAATGTAAGATACACGTATTTCCTAATATAATCTTACAAGCGCAATACATATATAAGCTTTAATTAACCTCAGTCGTACAGAGCGTAGATTTAACGATAACTTAATATAAGCAATTTCAGTCACAGCATAACAAGCTCGAGTCAACTACTTTGATATCAATCGAGCATCCATAATGATAACGAATGCCAATGGCAACGCTTCCACGAGGGCAAGGTGGAAAGGGAATGAATGGGAGGGAGGGGAATGAATGGAGGGGGGGTGGGAAATGGATGGGGAGGAAGGGAGGGTGGAAGGGAATGGATGGGAGGAAGAGGAAGGGAAAACAGGAGGGATGGGATGGGAGGCGGAAAAATTGGACGCCGGGAATTAAGTAAGAGAAGGGACAAAAACTTAATTGCCTCGTCACAGTTAGATGGTCAGTGCCACTGTTTAATTGGTCAGTGCCTCCTCCACTGTTCCCTACTGGTATTATTAGTTTATAATTTATATATAAATTAAAAATGATTAATATATAATTTATATAATAAATTATAAATTAATACCAATTTATAATTTATAATAGACATTATAGTATATTATAAAAATACATTTACTCGGGCATATAAGAATGATGCGAAGGTGATACGAGATATAATTGACAGGAATTGTAAACCTTCCAGTGAAAACACAAGGATTCGTCCTGTCATAAGCTACATAGTAGTAGGCATCCATCAGTCTCAGGAGACGATGGAGTTGCACTCTGGTGTCGGCCTGGTCTGGAGTGGTCTCACCAGGGCGCAAAGCCAGGGTAGGTTGATTCGGGGTAGAAGCTGTTACCCAGGCAGCAGGTCCCCCAAAGTACATAGCATGTATGTAGCATATACATAATATATGCTACATTGGACATACCACGAATACATTGTGTAAACGTCTTACACTTCATTTGCAAGAGGAAGGTATTAAACAACATCAACCCCAATACCATCCAGAATCACCAAGACACAGTGAAAGATACGACAATAAAGACACGCGCCGACGATTGTAGGAGGCTTTGTACGCCTGAGACTGTGATCATCCGGGAGCTGACACCAGTAATCAACATCCAGATGAATTCGACTTCGAGCATATAACTGTTCGATGGTCCTCCATTGACCCAGAGGGAAGATGTAAGACCTGGCGGACAGTTAGAAGCCGGAGTCAGGCAACAATCACCTCACCCTATCCTTCACCGCTCTCTACTATTAAGGAGATTAGGTGAATCATAGGGCTAGGTGTACCCACACTTATAAATGTCTAGATGTCTACTTGTAAGCAACAACCTTGTAAGCCTGTCACAGATTAAGGAGCAAATCAAGAAAAAAATACTCCCAACTATCAAAAGTCGCCGCAGGGCCAAAGTAGCGGAAGGAAGATCCAGTGCGATATGGTACGAACAAGCCACTGGGTGCTACTCTTTCAATCCTGACAAAAAGATATCCAGAGACATTGCAGTAGTCATACACAGACTCAGACTTGGTTACAAGTGCTGCTGGGAGGTAATAAACCCAGTAGTTAAAGAGTGTCATATGTGTGGAACAAATGCAGAGGCGCCACTATTGCACTACTTACTGGAATGTGAAGCTACTGAAGCCCTGCGCATCAAACTCAACATTAATCCAACGACAGCAGCTGCATTAGATGCACATTCCACAGCGACTACAATGATTAAAAAAGCCATTGAGGAATGGGACTCACTAATGAACATACTGCACCTACATCCGCCACCAAGATAATGTTATTAAAACAAGACTAAAATAGAAACAGGGGAAAAAGGAGGAAACCCCATCTCCATTTAAAACTTTGACCCAAATATCAGAGTAACCAGGTTATCGCGAACAACCGAACTCAATTACGGGCTCACTATAGTCTGTGCTACGTGGACATTTCGTTCTGAGTAGCTAAATCTAAAACAACAACAACAATCTTGTAAGCCTTTTACAAGTCCCTTACTTACTAAACACATACAACCCCGCTCCTGTGCCAGGTAAGTAAGTCCACTACGGGCTCACCATAGCCCGTGCTGCTTGGAACTTTTTGTTCTTAGTAACTGGATCGAAAACATCAACCTTGTAAGCTCAATATACCTGTGTCATTTGAACAGAATGTACTCCTGAAGATGTCACAATGCTGGCGAAACGTCGAATACAAATGTAAAGATTAAGTGATCTAGTGTTTCTTCACCCTCTAGATGGTAGAAGATATTTGCCTAGAATAGAAACTTAATAAATAACAATGTTGTTGTGTTCAATGACATGTATAATATATATATATATATATATATATATATATATATATATATATATATATATATATATATATATATATATATATATATATATATATATATATATGTGTCGTACCTAGTAGCCAGAACGCACTTCTCAGCCTACTATGCAAGGCCCGATTTGCCTAATAAGCCAAGTTTTCCTGAATTAATATATTTTCTCTAATTTTTTTCTTATGAAATGATAAAGCTACCCATTTCATTATGTATGCGGTCAATTTTTTTTTTATTGGAGTTAAAATTAACGTAGATATATGACCGAACCTAACCAACCCTACCTAACCTAACCTAACCTATCTTTATAGGTTAGGTTAGGTTAGGTAGCCGAAAAAGTTAGGTTAGGTAGGTTAGGTTGTCGAAAAACAATTAATTCATGAAAACTTGGCTTATTAGGCAAATTGGGCCTTGCATAGTAGGCTGAGAAGTGCGTTCTGGCTACTAGGTACGACATATATATATATATGAGGGAGTCCCGCGCACCCAAATGAGATAGCTTGAATGTGAGGCGTTTTAGGTGAGTGTGGATAAGACACGCGCCTACAAATCCCAATGAGTGTGAGGAAGAGGTAAGGGCTATAATGAGGAGAAAGTGCTAAGTTGGCATATGAGGTATGACTAAGAGGTGGGACATGAGGACAGACTAAGGGTGAAGGAACCTGAAATATGAGGCCAGAATGAAGGAACGACACCAGTCTCTTGGACTATCGGGTATCGAACGCAAACCCTGCCAGAAGCGAGGCCATCGTTGAACCAATTTAAGTCAATAGACCGTATTTAGGAAACATATTAGGTTTACCTAGGACCCTGTTACTCACCTTCCACGCATAAGTACTGTCGATGCGCTGACCATCAGTAGGTATACAAAAGGACTACAATTTTATTTAGTCATAGCGCGTGTGTCAAAGAAAAGCTTGCAGTAAGCTGTTCCTTGTGTTTACCTTGAGGTTAAAGAATAGCTATTCTGTTTTATTGTTTTGAAATCTTTAAAGACCTTCATGCGAACAACGAAGAAGTTTGCAAAGATTCCTGTAGTGCCCAGCGATTAAGCTTCCAAAGCCTCCAGTAACCCCAAACGAAGAGGCCTTCAAAGCCTTCACCAACGCGCAACGATGAATCTTCCAAAGACTCTGGTAACGCCTAACGAAGAAGCTTTCAGAGCCTCTTGTATCGCCCAACGAATAAGCTTTCAAAACCTCAAATAAAGCTTAACAATGAAGCTTCCAAAGCCTCCAGTGAAGAACATTTCCAAGCCTTCTGCAGTAGCACCCACGAAGAAAGACTCCAGTAACGCCTAACGAACAAGCCTCAAAAGCCTTTAGAAACATTGGAGACAGTACCGAGAGAGACAACGGACTCAGGATAATACACACAGTTCCCTTAGGAGCAGTTGTTGACTGAGGGACACACCAGGAAGTGAAGTTCTGTGAAGCACCACATCAAAACTCAGCCCTCGCTGTATGTCGGCTGCAAACTGCTCAACACACAAGGCCAGTAACTATTATAAGGAATCTAAAGAAAATAATTTAAAAAAGGTCAAACCAGGGAAATAAGCTTCCAGATGCCCTGAAAACGGTGGAACCACTTTCAATTCACATATGATTTGGATGACTAAACTTTTGTGCGCGCGCACACACACACACATATATATGTCGTACCTAATAGCCAGAACGCACTTCTCAGCCAACTATGCATGGCCCAATTTGCCTAATAAGCCAAGTTTTCATGAATTAATGTTTTTTCGACTACCTAACCTACCTAACCTAACCTAACCTAACTTTTTCTGCTACCTAACCTAACCTAACCGATAGAGATAAGTTAGGTTAGGTTAGGTAGGGTTGGTTAGGTTCGGTCATATATCTACGTTAATTTTAACTCTAATAAAAAAAATTGACCTCATACATAATGAAATGGGTAGCTTTATCATTTCATAAGAAAAAAATTAGAAAAAATATATTAATTCAGGAAAACTTGGCTTATTAGGCAAATCGGGCCTTGCATAGTAGGCTGAGAAGTGCGTTCTGGCTATTAGGTACAACATATATATATATATATATATATATATATATATATATATATATATATATATATATATATATATATATATATATATATATATATATATAATACATCCATTCTCTGTGGGAGAACAGCACGAATTATCGCATTAGTGAGTGTATTCACCCATTTAGGTGTCCCGTGGGGAG